TTAATCACCGTTGTCAGTAATAATATTATACGAAATCTTCAATTTTTAAATTGTAGAAAGAAATCTTTTTTGCAAATAAAAAATATCAACATTTTCCCCTATTTCTAAAGCAGATGCTTAAATACAGGGTGTCCATAAAGTTCGTGGGCACTTTAAAAATTTATAACTTTATTTGTATTTGCAATAGAAATAATTTGTAAAAAGGATTAGAAAGAAGTAAATCTATATTTTTTAAGGTTTTATTGAAATTTTATTTAAGTTTCCCCATGTCCTCCATCATTAGCAATACAAAAGGTAATACGATTTTGCAGTTCACAGAAAACATTTGCCAACTGATTTACAGTAATGCCTGAAATCACATTAGTTAGTTTAGCTATACTTAAAACTAGCTACATTATACTTTATAACATTTTTTACAGAATATTTCTATCGCAAATACAAATAAAGTTATAATTCTTTAAAGTGCACACGAACTTTATGGACACCCTGTATATATATATATATATATATATATATATATATATATATATATATATATATATATATATATATATATATATATATATATAAGAATACCCTGGAAAAATTAAAAGAGACTTTAAAAGTACGTTATGAGGATTTTGATAAAATGTAAACGCCTAACTTGATTAGAACTTCATTTTGATTGTTCTACTTGGTTCTGTCTATCGGCAGAATACAGCGGCCACTCTGATTATTTTGAGGGTTGGACGGGTCTTACTAACATCTGTTTTGTTTTAGTTTGTTTTTGTTCCAATTTTAGTTCGCTGCCGGGGTTCATTCACCCCACCTGACTTCATACTTCATGAAATTTTTAAATATTTTTGTATTTAGGCATTTTGAAATGTTTATATCATGGGGTGTTTTGTAGGTTCCCCCTGTGAATATGTGGTATTGTGGTGTATGTAGGATTGAATGGTGATGAATGAATTCTTGTGGTAAATGGAGCAGTTGTATTGGATGAATGGGTCGTGATCATGATTAACTAGGACTAGGATACTTAACGAAGTCCAGCCTCTCTCCACTTCGCATTCGGCCATGGGCCACAATTATTGTATACAGTAATAAATAACTATAACACCATTTGATTTGGAAATGGAAAATGCCGACCCTGAATTTCACTTACAAGATGAACTCATTGATATATGTATAGATCTCGAAGCTGTAACGGGGTCGTATGTTGGGTATGTGTAATATAAGTTACCCCGTTATTATATGTATTTGTAGTAGTTGTTCATAGAGGAATCTGTTTTGCTTTTTATATACTGAAAATGAAATGAATAAAACGTACAACAATAATATAAACAATAATGACTTAAGACACGTGTTGACATTAACAACAAAAATCTGTATTTTCTTTTCCGTAATGTGAATTACAGATATTGGCATGGTGTGTATTAAAAATGGTCTCAGTGTTACTCTTTTATTTTTTAAAATTCTGTGCTTAGTTGTTTTTGCTTGTTCCGAGAAATTCGTTGGTGAGGATAACGTTTGTGATCGTCAATTTTCGATTTTCACGGATGGATGAAGATACGTATGTGTTGCACCTTTTTGCTGCTACTGCTGCAAATTGCTACTCTGCTTTATTCTACTGATTCTACTCTACTGACTGCCCTCACTTGTAGTGGAAGGGTCGTTTTTATAATCCGATTTTAGAATGATGAAATATCTTTCTCATCTTTCATCACGGGTGGCAAGGTTGTTTTTAGGATGATGAAATATTTTATCTTTATTTCAGGGTTGATCATCGATGATGGCAAAGTTATTTTTAGAATGATGAAATATCATCATTCTGGATCATAACAAAACTAACTCAATGTTCAAAAGTAAAAAAGCCTCAGTAACTATTGCAGTAATATAAATACTACTACTAAATACCCGAAGCTTAGTGCAACGGTTGAGTCATTTTTATTTGCATTCCTAAATTCGATACTGGTTGAAGCTGGTTTTAGCCAGACAAATGCAATCCTAATTCTGTTCTAATTAAGCAAAGGAACAGACTGAACCTGGAAGAGCGTCGTGACTTACGACTAAAACTCACCAGTTTTCAACCAAATATCACTGACATGACTTCTACTCATCAAACACGTCCTTCCTGCTAATGATGTGAACCAACGCAATAAAAAAAGTTTTTGAAATAAATTTATTTTTAATATTGTCTATTATTACCTATATTATTTATTATTTATGAAGTTTTTTCTTCTCATCAGCATTATTATTATTATTATTATTATTATTATTATTATTATTATTTGAATGTGTGGTATAGGAAGAAAAAGCATAAACGAAGCATAAAGCTGAAAAATTAATCTTTGAGAAACAATTGTGTATTTATCCCACTTAGCTTTGCCAAAACGCCTGTAAGGAGGGCACTCATTAAGCCTAAAAGGCAAGAATGTTAGCTTTTTTTAACTTGCTTCCAGATATTACCATATTCACAACCGTTGTACGCTCCGGCCTTCTACAGGTGATTGGAATTTTTAACTGAACCTTTTATTTCGTCCATCAGAGTAAGTTGTTCTGGTTCCACGTGCCATGCCTCTCTCCAAGTTTTTGTTCACCACTGCAGTAGCCAGGTATTGAACTCACAACTCATTGTGTCAAGTCATTGGATCCAACCAACGCTTTTATCCACAGGACCATTGAGGACATCAGTGTATGATTTGGGGGGGGACTTATTAACATAATGTCTTAGTAACCATTTAACAGAGCTCATATTAATATCTTGATAGCTTTTCTCTAGCACTTCATTTTATTAATTTCTATACTTGGTTGGTTTAGGAAATTTCTGTGGCATAGCATATGTGCTGATTCTTTAAGTTTTCGTATTTTCCAGTGATACTCTCTGTCTACTATTTCAGCCTCAACCCACAGGGTTCGATGATCTCCCTTTTCTCGCCATCACCTGAAGAAGGCCGGAGCGTACAGCGACCGAAACGTCGTGAATACGGCAATAGAGATGAGGACAACTGTCCGAACAATGTAAAAATGTAAATAATTACAATACCTCATCTCAGAAATATATACACTGAGTCCGCTAATATTGTCTGCGAGATAAATGTTCCAGGCGACCATAAATATTTAATATAAAATGTCTATACACATCACAACACAGGTGTTGTTACCCGCAACTTAATGGTGACTTATTTCCACCCAAACTTACTAGTACTCCCGCAACACAATAATAAAAGAAAAGGGCAAAAGAATTTCTACCGTTATTGTACCTGCCTGGGTGTCGATGTGGGATTAAGAGGTCGATGGCTTTGTTGGGGGTCACATGCCTTCACTAATTTATATTAGACACAATGCCACAAAAAATAACAAGAAGAGAAACAAGAAAATTCAGGCAAGAGAAATTGTATTAATAAGTAGATTTTTATATAACAAATGTACAAAACAATAGTTATGAATGTTGTTTAAAATGGTAAAATAAACTTTTTAGATTATTGTGTGAGGTAATGTTCCAGTTTGATAGACTGCAAGTTGTAGGGTAATTTATGTAAATTTGGACAGATTGAGTTCAATGTAATATTGTTTGTATTCAAAATAAACAGTTCAAAGTTTGTGGAAAAAGCATGGGTGGTTGTGACTTACGTTGTGTTGACTTACGTTGTCGCTTTGTTGTTTGCCAACGTGAGTTTAGTTTGCATTGAATTAAGGAAATAGACTGTGGTTATGTTAAAAAAAAAAGATTTTTAACTTATAGTCTGGACTTCAGTTGAAAGTTATTTTATGATGAGTGCCGTCACAAGCGTGTAGCTTTTCGACTGATTTTTCCCCCATAACCCTGTTTCTTAATTTGTTTTTGTTTATATAAGTAATATAAGTCACGTGATAGGCACCAGAAAAATGTTTTAAAATTTTGGCGCGACTGTACTTTTGATCAGGTCAAATTAAGGTCAGACGTGCGGACGTAGTCGATGATATGCCATGTGATATTTTTGAACCAATCAAATTACGTCAGTTATGTAATTTAACTTGAAGCCTGTGTTTTATTTAATTTTCTTAAGTTTTGAGAACAATATAGGATCTGGATCCTATAGCCTAAAAAGTTTGGAGACCCCTGAAGCAGTTTTTTCAAAACAGGAGTGTGTTGTTGTCAGTCTTGTGTCGGTAACTGCTTTAACAAATTCTACCAAAGAATTAAAAAAAAAAAAAAATCGAATTAAAAAAATATAAAAAAAGCATGGCTGTTTTTGTTTGAATGATTTTTGTTTGTTTTTTTAGTGCGACTTATATGCGAATATACGGATACTGAAATTATCAAGCTATCTCCAGATCATAATGTCATCCTAAAATTTTTTATTTTGACCTTTTTTCGAAAACTTTAAAAGATTGGATCAACTCGTTACACATAGTTATATTATCTGTGCTTACATCTTATTTATATATAAATGAATGTCATTTCTGTTTAAGAAACTCAGTTATAAAAAAAAATCTCTTTATTCTCTAGCACGACTCAATTAACAGTATAATCTCAGTCGCCATATTATACACTTATTACACCAGTCGCCATATTATACACTCTCCAATCAATATGCTCAATATTTGTTCTTTTACTGTATTTTATTGTTTTTGTCGCTGCCAGACAATCGTGCGATGGGTGAGATGATTTCTTGTTGGCTTGTTGTGGTTTTGGTTAGCTTGTTTCACTTATAATATTTTAGAAACGTGCTTATAAAAACCAAATTTAGGAAAACTCAGTAACGGAATCGGTAATTTCGACAAGGTTGGAAATTTCGGTAACTATGAAATTAAAGTCGATTGAAAATTGATTTTTGGGCCCTTCCTCTATATTTTTAAATAAATAAGAATCGTGGGGTCCAGATAAAACCCCACTACAGCAATACCAGGGTCATACTTGCAGAAGGAGGGTTTAAGGGACTTGGAGACCTCTTTCCCCAATATTTTTCTTAAGTATTATTAACTATGAGGGTCTAGATAAAAACCGTACTACAGCAATACCAGGGCTGTGCTTTCAATCAAACATAGATAGATAGATAGACAGATAGATAGATAGATATGAACAGAATGAAATAGATAGATAGATAGATAGATAGATAGATAGATAGATAGATAGATAGATATGAACAAATGAGATAGATATGAACAGAATGAGATAGATAGATAGATAGATAGATAGATAGATAGATAGATATGAACAAATGAGATAGATATGAACAGAATGAGATAGATAGATAGATAGATAGATAGATAGATAGACAAATGAGATAGATAGAACAGAATGAGATAGATATGAACAGAATGAGATAGATATGAACAGAATGAGATAGATAGATAGATAGATAGATAGATAGATAGATAGATAGATATGAACAGATTGAGATAGATAAATATGAACTGATTTAGATACAAAATAGATATGAACAGATTAAGATAGATAGATGTGAACAGATTAAGATAGATGAAGACATAGATAGGAATAGACATAGATAAATTGATATTAACAGATTGAGATAGATGGGTATTAATAGGCTGGGATAGATAGATATGAACAGTTTAAGATAGATATTAACAGACTGAGATAGATATGAACAGGTTGAGATAAATGGAGTGATAAATACGAACATAGATAGATAGATAGATAGATAGATAGATAGATAGATAGATAGATAGCCAACTGAGATAGATAGATAGATAGATAGATAGATAGATAGATAGATATGAACAGGTTGAGATACATGGAGAGATAAATATGAACATAGATAGATAGATTGAGATAGATCAATAGATAGATATGAACAGATTGACATAGACAAGCATGAAGAAACTTGCATAGATTTCTTTAGATATTCACATCTGCATATCTTTAAAATTCACAGACATTTCTTTACATATTCTCAGGTTCTTCCAATATTGATTTGAATAAACATTGATTTTATTTTCTTTATTAGCATCGACTTCTCTTTAGATATTAACAATTCAATATTTTTTCTCAGTTGAAAAAATAAAAAATTGAAGATATTTAACTAATTTTTTAAAAAATTAATTAAAATGCTTAAAATATATATTGATAAATATTCAAATCAATTTCTAACTGTTATAATTTTTTAATCAACTTCTAATTATTTTTAAGATCTTCCTTACTTTTTAAAGTGACTATGATGTTTTAAAATTTAGTGCAGCATTTCTTTAAACATTCAAACTGGCATTTTCTGATTTTCACACAAGCTTTTCTTTAAGCAGTTACTCGACTATGCATTATTAGTTTTATTCTTATTTTTTCTATATTAGAATTGATTATTCTACAGATATTCACAGTTTTTTCTCAATTGTCTAAATCTAAATAAATAGTTAAAAACTATATGCCAAAAGTATCTGTCTATATTTCTGAGATGAGGTATTATGTACACTATTTACATTATTCGAACCATTGTCCTATCTTTGTCGCTATATTTATTACAACGTTTCAGCCATTGTACATTCCGGCCTTCTTCAGGTGGTTGGAATGTCGAACTGTACCCTTTATTTTGCTCACTGGGGTAGACTGTTCAAGTTCCACGTGCCATGTTTAATGGATGTCAGTTATCAGTTATCTCCTGTTAATTCCCCTCTCCAAGTTCTTCACTGCCTTAACTGGATATTGAACGCCTTCATCCACTGTGCCATGTGTCCTCAAGGATTTAGTATTCATCCTTTTTGAAAATTTTGAATATTCTTTGATTTTTTTTTTTTTTTTTTTTTTTTGCTTATTCATGCAAAGAATGTACAACATCAGGAATACCAGGGTTACAGTTGGGAATCAAATCAGTCCTGACCTTATTTTCGTCCAAGTAACTTTGTTGGAAAAAAATATTGTAGCCTGTCTTCATTGTGTGTATGTCTTTGAATTTCATTCCTAATCTCATGTACATTTTCTTTTTTTCTTTTTTTATTGGTACCAATTCTTTATGAAATTTTTTTTTTTCCTTCCATTTATTTATTTATGTATTTTTCTTTATTAATTGAAGTGAATTTAGTCTTTGCCCTTTTTGAAAATTTTGAATATTAGTTTTTTGAAAAAGTTTTTTTCTTTTCCTGCTGACTCATACAAAAAACAGGAGGCATGGTGAAGTAATGGATAGCACTTGGATTAAGGAATCAGAGAGCCAAGTTTGAATTTCAGTCGAATCCATTCCATTCACTTACCTGCTAATACCCTTGGGAAAGGTATGAATCCTCTTTTTCTCCCCACAGCTAAATAGCAGAACAAGACCTTGAATGGCAACTGTTCTACCACAGAAAGAAATGGCAACCTACTGTGGGAAAAAATCTGCCTCCTCAGTCATGTGTTGAAAGATACATGATCGCCTAAGTGTGTATCATGCATGGCACATAACTGACATGCAAAGAATGTACAACATGAGGAGTCCCAAGTTCACGGACGAGGAATGTTTGCATTCAAGAGCATGTTGACACTTTAACTAAGTTAAAACTTTATATTTCAGTTTCATCTCTGAGTGCTTTGCATGTTATTCATGGAATTCTTGTATGCTGTTTGTTTTTTGTTTGTTTGTTTTTGAGTGTGCATGCATGTAAGAGTAGATAGGCTTGACTATCGGCCGATCAGTACTCCTCCCCCTTCTCTTGAACAGGAGTGGAGGCTCATCCCTTGTTTCCTGTTTAGGAAGGGGTTACTGGTTCCTTTCCTTTTCTCTGGTCTCTGTGGTAGTGCTGTTATGAATCTCTTGTGATGTTTGCAGTCTGTGGCGATGTCTTGTCATACTGAGGGTAATGGGTTGACATTTTTCTGGTTGCTGTTTCCGACTGGTAGTTAGGAGCCTGAACTCTTGCATAGTGTCTTGAGTGACTGCTCTGATCAACAGTTGCATAATATCAGGGTGCTTGTAGTGCCATGTCATGCATGGAAGGGTGTCTCGGAACGCACATCCGGTGGGCAACCCCGAGGCCACATTATGTTGCAGTCTGCACCAACTCCTTTCTGTCCATCTCACATACGATGATCTTCTACAACTATTACTTTAGGCCTCTTCATTACCAACATAAGTCAACATAACCATGAACCATCAAAAAATAAACCTAAACCAGCTCTAAAAAAAATTAACTAAACCCTTTAACATTCCCTTTTCCAACATCCGTGGCATTCGAACCAACTTCTGCAATGTGGAATTATTCCTTATTGAAAAGTTTCCTGATATACTAGCTGTCTGCAAGACCAACCTTAATTTGTTAGTCCCCCCTCCTCTGATTTCTCAATTCCTGGTTATCTTCCTCTTCTTAGAAAGGACTCTAAAATCCTCAAACACCCTTTTCACTCTTGCTCTCACTCTCTGTAACCCCTTGCATGCTAGTGGCACTCCTGCCTTGCTTGGGGTGATATGCTTAAAATATATATATATATATATATATATATATATATATATAGGGTGTCATTTAAGCTAGCTCCTGCAGAGGTCTCTTGATTCGGCCTTCATCACAATAGATAGAGAGGAGTAGATGCGATACGCAACAATAAACTACAGAAGAACTCAAAATTAATCACTGCATTTAAGTATTGCATTAATATTTAAGCTTACCTTTTAAAAGTTTAATGATAATTCTTCTGCTGTCATTTAATTTAAAGACAATTTGATGTATGTAGTTCCTTACTTTCTGTACAAACAATTATTTTTATTTCATGGGTGACTTTCAATGGATTTCACAATTAATTTCGATTATTCCCAAATTTATTTCCAAGTTGTAAAACTTGTTATTGTACAAAAGGTTTGTCGTAAAAAATTCACGTAAAAAAAATTCACCAAAAAAGGTCAGTCGTGAAAACTTGGGAATCTAAAATTTCAGGATTGCAGGTCTGGATCCAGTTCAAAATGTTTTTAATTTGCTCATGGTCGGCCTGATTTCTAAATGGTATGATATGCTGGGCTCCGGCCTCTAGGAGTTGGAAAAACAGGCAATTTTATGTTGAAACACTGTAATTTGAGAACAGTAATTTTTTTCATTTAAACATGAGCTATTGAACGTTAGAGAGTTGTGTCCCTTTAATTATTTTTATCAGTAGAAACCAAGATGACAGAATGCAAAAACAATCCCAGTCATGAAAAGTTAGGAATCCAAAATTTCAGGGTTGTGGGTCTGGATCCAATCAGGAATGTTTTTAATTGTCTTACAGAGTTGGCTTGATTCCAAAAAGATATATGTTGGGCTATGGCCTTTCGGAGTAAAGTTGAAAAGGTGTGATACAGTGACACACTGACATTCACATTTATTTTATACACATATATATATATATATATATATATATATATAAAATTAGAAAATCAGCCAATTCTGCTACCTTGGTTTCAACTTTTCAGTATCTTCAGGCAATTTTAGTCAATTGATTTCCTAATGCTTTATTTTTTAAAAATACAAAATTTTGAACACTATATTTAAAAAAAAAAAATGAATGAATAAGCATACGACATGAGGTGTGATACAAGGTGAAGAGGAGGAAGGGAAAATCAAGTGTATCGGAAATGCATCGGTCAAGGGGATTAAATGAAATATACATTCATTCTTTTTATCCCACTTCACATGAACTCAAAAGGAACTTTTTGGTATGTATACAATGGGTTATAATTTCTAATCTCTGATTCAATTGGTTTTTTGAGTCTGGAAATGTTATTATAGCTAATTTTTCTTGTTGACAAAGATTACAGATGTTCCTATGATTGTTGTAAGGTTATAAGGTCATTTTCTCCAGCAAGACATTCATTTCTGTAGTTTACTGCTACCAGCAAGCAGAAATATTTCTCCTCCCAATGATGGATATGTTGGCCGAAACTAGTCGAGGAATCTAAATGAAATAATAATAAAAAAAAACGAAAGAATATTAATCTACAACCCAGTGTGTCTGAAGATTTTAATTTTTTAATATTTTTTTATTGTTCAAAATATATATATATATATATATATATATATATAAATTTACCAATTTAAAAATATGATCCCATCACTACACAGAAATTACTATGTTTCAAAATCAGAAACTAAAACTTTAAATTTAATCATAGAATTAAATTAAAATCCCTAGTACTGTTTCATTTTCAAGTGATTTTTGGAATAACTTATTTTGAAATTTACATTCTTGATAGCAGTTGCTAATGTTATGGGGAAATTCAATCATTTTGATAAGGAGTGGTAGGGTATTCATTTTCACTGACAATCTGTGTATCAAAATATGAGTTAGTTTCAAAATGAGGTTAAGTTAAAGTAGGATAGGGGTGACAGTTCAACAAATGATGACATCTGTTTTTTGCATGTCGTCTGTTTTTTGTTTTGTTTTTTCAATGAAAAACATTTTTTGACATTTTTATTTTGGCATTAAATTTATAATTGTATACACAAAGATTTTTTTAAAAAGTGTTGTTTGAATATGAGTACTTCATATTAAAATAATTCTAATTACTAATAGACTATACTTTATTAAAACAAATAAATATATTAGAATTACTTTCTTATCTAAAAATTATTCAAAGATCAAGTATAAATATATGTCTCATTTTTCATTTTTCTTCTTCTTTTTTTCCATTTAATCATTATTTAAGGAAAATTTTTGACAGTATCTACAAAAAATAGCTATTCCATTTCTTTGATTAAGGAAATTTTTATTTTTCATAAACTTAATAATTTATAATATCTCATGTTTGCACAAAGAACATGGATCATTTAATGAGCTATAAACTCTAGCTTTTCTTATTAATTTCCATTTTACAGTAGGTGTTTTATTGGTTTCCTTTAAGTTCAAGAAATATTTAGATAGGGACGTCTGATTTCAGTATTTACTTATTTTAAAAGA